TATGTGTAGGGGGCTGAGTGTGGTAGTGCATACCTTTAATGCCAGCACTCCAGAGGCAGAGGCAGGTGGATCACTGTGAGACTGAGGCCAGCCTGGGATGGTCTACATAGCAAGCTCCAGGACAGCTTGGAACTACATAGTGAGACCCTGTTTCAAAAAAACAAGACAAAACAAAAGAAGTATGTATGTGGATACACTAGTACAACTATAATCAGACTTTATTTATTTATTCATTCATTTATTTTTAAGACTGGGTCTTTGTATGTAGCTAGACCTGAACTCTTGATCCTCCTACACCCACCTCTTGAGTGCTGGGATTTGGGGTATGTGCCACCTTGCTTAGTGCTGTAAACAGACTAAAAGGATATGTTAAGATATAGTGTTCAGAATTTGGGTCCTGATTTGAATAACTCATGATGAAAAGATATAGAATATAGATGTTAGTTAGCTAGGCAATTAGCAAAATTATCTGAGATGCTGGCTGGCTATTAGACAATGAAACTGGAAAAAAAAAAAAACTACTAGAGAGGATGAATGACATGAGTGGAAACAGCCACAGCCACACTGCATAGTGCCAATTGCTGGTCGCTGACTGATGCACACACAGATTGAGTGCTCATTACACCATCTCTCTATTCTTCTTTTACAAAGGGAGAAGTTGGTGTGATCACTCAGGATTGCTTTGGCACCATATTTACCCCTTCCATTCAATGAAATTGTGTATCTTATCTGCTTTTACCTCAAATGTAAAAGTCACCCTTGTGTTGTGAGCTGCTTTGTTTGAGTACTGGCTAGAATCATTTGCCAATTTTGAGGTCTGAAATCTGATGTGGAATGTCTGCTTCCCTAGGCTCTTAACCTCATCTGTAAACTCCTTGAAAGCAGAGCTGTTTCCAGTCTTCCTGAGTTTCCTGCTGGCAGCCTAGCTGTGTAAGGCTTAGAGCAAAAGGGAACCAGGCAAGCCTAGACACCACTGCTGGCATATGAAGCCGAAGATTCCAATGCACAAGAGTCCATGTCGTGTTCCTGTAGAGTTGCATGCTTGTCAGACCTCCTCTTCCCATTCTGCGTTCTCAGGAGCAGGTGGCTCTCATGAAACTGCACAGGGGAAGGGAGATGGAAGAAAGCTGCAGTTGGCTTTTAATTGCCTCAGCCTACGAGCCACTACTATTTTTCCTGTAGTCGGTTGACATGGCCTCTTAATACAAGGCAGGCTGGGAGTGGAAGGTAGCAAGCAGTTAACATGAGTTGTCTCTATCACAAGGCACTGAATAGCATTTGTTGAAACTCATTCTTGCTCCATGCAAATACCTGCTCACGAATTTCAATAGAGAAAATGCTCAGTGAATGAGAAAAAGGATTCCCAAATGCTTCTCCAGCTCTGATCCTATCCATTCATTCTTCTGGGATAAAATTCTATTTACTCATTTTCCCCAACAGGGCATGGTAAGCATAAGCTATGGGCTGAAGGAGATAGTGAAGAAGAGGAGCCTGGCTGCCCAGGCAGGAACTGTCAAGCTTGGATGTCAGCAGCAGAGGCTGCAGGCCAGTTGGAGTACAGAGAAATCAGTGTTGAGCATTGGCCTCAATGACCAGAGAGAAAGAGTTGTGACTATTTGGGGCCAGAATGAGGCAGGGGCAGCTTGGGGCAGGAGTCAGAGGCTTGAAGTGTACTGGCACTAAAATCTCTATATTTCTCTCTGATTCATTCCAATATTCC